ATAAATACATGAGTATATATTTAATATAGTATAGTATATATTTAATGTAATGTCTTTTTTGTACCTAGCTGATAGCATAATATACCTAAAAATATATCATGAAATGTTACAGCTTTTGATTTTATTTAACCAGCATTTTAATATAACTGTAATTAAAGTTAAAAAGGTTCTCCTAACCTTACTATCTGATTTAAGCATGTGCAGATGCCTTGTGTTTTTTAAGTCCGTTAATAATAATTAATAATAATAAAAAAAAAAAAACGTTTTTGTTTTCTGTAGTCTGATGTACTGTGTGCAGGAAAACTTTCACCATGAAGCCAATAAACAGATTTTATTTTGCCATAGTGTTAAACAGTCTACACTTTGTATAATAAAGTATAATATTGGAATATTTTAGATGTAAATTATATTGTATGATTTATACCAATAGTTGCAAGTCTATATATGGCAGACTGTTATTACTGTTTGGATTGGATTAAATAGAAATAAGAAATGTAATTTACGGAGGATTCATGATTTCCTCCATGTAATCACACCCACATATTCAACTGAATAATAAAATAATAATAATAATAATAATTTAGTTCTTTTAGCTTACAAAATGACAGAATACAGATTTACAGAATACTTGCTCAGAGCCATATGAGTCATATTTATGATTATATTCCCTATGCAATATCGTATCTGGTAAACAGCAATTATGATTGCGGTGGATTGCAATTGACCCATCAGGATATCTGAGCAAGCCAAACCAACACAATATAGAGTATCAAGTATATATTACATATCAAAAGTAATATGATGGGTTCCCACAGGAAGCTGAAATCCATGCTGAGAGGTCATTCATTTGACACAGTGACTGTTTTCTCTGCAAATAAGCGGCTCCTGTGCCTGGTTTCACACACCTCATCTCATATATGAGGCAGAGTTATGGCAGGAATGAACTCCAGGGCTGAAAACACTGCTTGTGTCTGAAAGCAGATGGGCCGGTGTCTGTGGAGCAGAATGGTGACGTTACCCACAGCTGCCAGACTCAGTGATTAAGGAAAGTGTGCTAAAGAGTTGTTGTAATAATCAGACTTGGCTCTGCGTGTTGTTTTTAGGGCGACTCAATGAGAACAAACATTCAGCTGGACTTTGGGGACGGTACGGCCGTGTCCTACTCCAACCTGAGCTGGACCCAGGAGGGCATCCGGCACGTGTACCGCAGCGCAGGCATCTTCAGAGTAACAACGCTGGCGGAGAACAGCCTCGGGTTCGACACGTCATCCCTCCACCTGCATGTGACGTGTAGGTTTCACACACAAACACACACGCACAAATGAGCGCCCACTTCAGTGTGTATTTTTAGTGATGAAGTTGGGAAGTTATTTCAGGTGTGTTATAAAACATTCTCCAGTTTGCTAAGGTACCAAAAGGTACCAAAACATTATACTATAATGTTATGGTAGTATTTATGTCTTAACTTTTAGTAAAAATACCTTAACAGCTTTGATGAATTTATTTGTGTGTAGTAATGTTTAAGATAATAAGACTTGTTTGTCAGAGAATATATTTGAATTAAGTTTATTTTTCTCTTTGGCAAAGTCAATTAGTCCAAGCTTTAACTTCACTAAATGTTGGTAGATATACCCTTGTGAAAAAGTACACTTTAGCATACTTTTAAAAAGAGTAATCATTGCATAAATAATATGCTTTAAAATGATATACTAAAATGTAGACAGTTGGTTTTATTAATTTCATCTAATTGTCAATTGCAGTTAAATTAAAATTATTATTAATGTATATTGATTGCAGTTAGCTGAACTTCATGTTGCTTTTTTAACCTATGTAAGAATAACTTTGGTATATCTATTTGCGTAATTTCATGTAATGTATGCAATTTCATAATTAATTATGTTGTCTTTAGAAGTAATTATAGTGTACTGCTGCACTGACAAGCAATAAAAATAAACAAATATGATTGTATTGTTTTTAATATATATATATATATATATATATATATATATATATACACACACATATATATATATATACACATATATAT